GTGTGTGTGTGTGTGTGCGTGCGTGCGTGTGTGTGCTTGCGTGCGCGCTCCAGGAGCTCCGCGAGGACAACCTGACCCTGCTGGAGACGAAGGTTTTGTTGGAGGAGCAGCTGTCGGCCTCACGGGGGCGCTGTGACAAACTGCACACGCTGGAGAAAGACAACCTGCTACTGCGGGCGAAGATCCACGACCTGGAGATGGTACGACCCAGACCCACGCCGTCACATGGTTCACACAGTGACCGCGCCAGATGTTTCCAGATGTTCTTGACACAAAGCTTTCTCTCTGTGACGAGATGGTGGCTGGGTGGTGTGTGACGTATATTAACACAAGTAGGATGAGAGCACCTCCCCTTACTGTCAGGGTCAGCCTCTGAAGTTCTCATCATCATCGTTTACGATCACGCCCCCTTTACCTGTAAAAAATCCCCACTTCCTGTGACAAACGGTCACATGGCATCAGCGTGCTCAGGTGATAAACAAACTATAATAAAATGCAGTGTAACAGCACACACGTCTGTGATGGGCTGGCCACCTGCCCAGTCTATACACCGCCCCTCCCCCTGTGACCTCTGGGATAGGCTCCGCCCCCTGGGACCCTGAAAAGCATAAACAATTAATAGAGTGGGCAGAAACCAGAAGAACGCTGGTCTCTGTAAAAATCATCATCCACCTGTCTGTCCCTCCACCTGTCTGCAGGAGCGGGACAGCGAGCGGCGACGGCTGGAGGAGCTGGTGGAGGAGAACATGCTGCTGGAGATCGGACAGAAGCAGAGCATGAACGAGTCGGCTCACCTGGGCTGGGAGCTGGAGCAGCTCACCAAGAACCACGACAACACCGAGAGTGAGCCTCCACCTGTCTGTCCTCAGCCTGTCTGTCCTCCACCCGTCTGTACACTGGTAACCGGCTCTCTTCTCTCCGCCCAGCCCGTAAGTCTCTGGTTGACGAGCTGAACGAGTGCGTCTCCAGCCGTATGCTGAAGCTGGAGAAGGAGAACCGGGAGCTGCAGGCGTCCATAGAGAGGCTGAAGGAGGAGAACCACCTCCTGCAGGAGAAGCAGCTCCACACGCAGGAGCTGGACCGGGAGAACCAGAGTCTCAGCAACAAGGTGGGACTCACAGTCACTCCTGCTGTTCACCGGCTCGAGGCGCTGCTGTGGGGATTCTGTTTTTTAATTAAAGTTTAATAAACTTTGATTTCTGCCATCTGAGCGGTGATTTGATTTTACAGTAACAGTGATGCATCGCGTCTCAGTCCTGCAGGCGTGCAGCGTTTAGTCTAGATGCTGATATGAGACACATACATGTAACTTTTACTGATTGATCACACAGCTGATCAATAAAGAAACATGGATCTCATCGGTTAAGGTTTACAGTAAAACTCATACACACAAGCCGCTGTCTCCACCTGACTCCAGGTGCACCAGTCGTGCACGCAAACATGAACATCACTCAGTAAACCTTCATTCGTCCAGTATTTGTGTTTCCGTCTGTGCTGCATGGGAACTTTCAAAGAGTAAACATGACGACGTGAAACCCTGATAACAAACTCGTCTCGTCTTTTAACGGCACAGTTTTAACTGTTTTTGTCCAGTTTTAACGTCCTGCAGCATCATTCAAGCTCAGTGAGCTTTGAAACACTCCCCTGTCTCTAAAAGCAACACCTGTGTTTGTTTCAGCTGGAGCGTCTGCAGGGTTTACTGGACCAGGAGAAAATAACCAATCAGGACATGGAGGCTCTGGGGGAGGAGCTACTGAAGGAGAAACAGAGTCTGGAGCGCGACATGCACGCTCTGAAGGCGGAGAAGGACCGACAGGTGTGTGGCACACTCAGGTAACATCTCCTTCACTGTCAGTCGCAGAGGAGACCGGCTGACTTCTGTTTGTCCAATCAGATCTCAGAGCTGGAGAGCGAGAAGCAGCACCTGTCGGAGGCAGTGGCGTCCCTTCAGGAGCGCGCTCAGTCTAACAGCGTGGCGAGGGTCCGCGAGGTGGAATCAGAGAACCGCCTGCTGCACCAGAGCATCACCGACACCAGCTCCCGATTGGCCAGCCTGGAAACACAGCTCAAAGTATCCAATGAGGAGGCAGAGAGGCTGAGGGAGCGGGCGGGGCGGTGTGAGGAGGCGGAGCGAGAGGTGGCGCGGCTGGAGAGGAGCCGGGAGGCGCTCAGCAGAGAGGTACGTAAACGCTTCCTCCTCTCTGACGAGTCTCACTGCAGCATAAGTGTAACGTGCCCGTGTCGCCTCCAGGTGGCGTCTCTGCGGGCGTGCAGCGAGCGCTCCGAGGCTCTGGAGAAACAGGTGACCTCCTTGGAGCAGGAGGTGCACAGGCTGAAGCGGGAGGCGGAGGAGAGCCAGCGGGAGCTGCAGCGGCTGACGAAGCAGGAGGCTGAAAACGGACTGCTGTCCAAGGAGAACCTGGAGCTCCGCTGCTCCCTGGAGAGCCTGCGCTCCTCATCCACCCGCCTCACCACTGTGCAAGAGGAGCTCCAGGAGGCGCAGAGGGAGATGCAGGAGCTGCAGAGGAGGCTGGATCAAGCTGGGGAGGAGGCGCAGGGAGAGAGGAAGAGAGCGGAGAGGCTGGAGGTGAACCTGACAGCTCTGAACCAGGAGAAGCATCACATAGAGGAGGAGATGGAGAAGAGCAAAGAGGAGAGGGTGGAGGAAGAGAGGAGGCGGCAGGAGGCAGAAAGCAGAGAGGAGGACCTGAAGAGGGAGGTGGAGGAGCTGAAGGAGGAGCGGAGGAGGCGAGTGGAAGGAGACGAGGAGAGGAAGAAGCTCCAGCTGGACCTGGAGCAGTCGGAGAAGGGCCGGAAGCAGCTGGAGAAGGAGAGCTGGAGGATGAGGACGCTCCTGGAGGGGAAGGAGACGGAGCTGGAGGAGAAAACCAGGAGGCTCACCGAGGTCACGAAGGAGGGAGGAGCTCTCAAAAAGGAGGTGGAGCGAATGAAGGAGGCGGCGGTGAAAGCAAAGGAGGTGGAGCGAGAGAACAAGGAGCTTCAGAAACAAGCGACGATCGACAAGAGGACGCTGGCCACGCTCAGAGAGGTGAGAGAAGGGGCAGGGGGAGGAGCTTCGTTTAAGCAGGTGTCCGTGGCGCCGCTGGGCGGGTTATTTAGATTCTAGTTCAGAGTTTGGATCTGAGCAGGTGAGCTGTGGAAGCGTCACTCGTGGGTCTGTGTCGGTCTCCTCGTTGCTGCTGACGCCTGTGAGACCGCGAGGCTGCCATCAGAGCGCACACGCTCCGAGTAACTACTTTTAAATCCCGGGAGAATTGCAGCTGCATAAGCTGTCGCAGGAATGTTTTTGCATGTGAGACCGGAGGAGCCGCACTTCCATAACATGCATTCAGCTCGTCCTTTGCAGAAGGCACGTAAAAAACGTCATAATCCAGAAACACGCTTTGCAGATCCGATCAGCTATTCATTGCACTTCCTACTATGGCATGTCAGGAAGTGACGTCATTTTTTTCTTGTGGGAAACATAGTTTTTCCTACAGGGCCTTTCAGAGGAGCGTGTTTGACTTGAACTTAAACTGCACTGTTTAAGTTTGAGTTTCTCCTGAAGTTTATAAAAGTGAGTGTAGCTCAAAAATGAAACTACAGAGACACTCAGTCAGTTTGCTGTGTTTGGAAATATGTGTAAAAACAAGTCAAGTTTATTTATAAAGCACATTTAAAAACAACCAAGGCTGACCAAAGTGCTGTACAATAAAATACAAATATAAAATACAATAAAACGCAAGTACATGAAACACCTCACAACAAAGGTGAGGGTATATAGTTACTACGGCTTAATGCATGCATGTTATTAAAACTTGTATTGATGTGTAGCAGCTTGAAAGATGGAACGACAGCAGGTAAAAATATGAAGGTCAGCTCTGGTGGACTTGGTTCTGTGGTGGGCTTTAAAGGGTTCATCAGTTTTTTTGCTCTCAGAACTGCAAAAAAAGCAGTAAAATGAAAACAACGTATCAAAATCGGAATCTCAATCAAAGACGAGGCGCTCGGTCAGCTTTACCGACATATACACCAGAAGGCCAGCAGGGGGCGCTGCACTGCTAGGTACTGAACACTGGGGTGTTCTTTACAGCATCAGCGTGGAAGGTTCCTGTGAGCGCCACATCGAGTCCTGAACAACCAATCAGCAAGTCTGAAAACGCACATGTTACAGACTGTAACTTGCGTCAGCTGTTCATTCTCGGCTCTTTGGAAACCTGCAGAGTGGGGCGGGGCAGTGTGGCCAAACGATGTAACTCACCATGTAACTGATACGAGACTAAATACTTTACAACTCAACTTTATTAGTGCAAAAAAATCATCAGTTTATTTCCACTTGAACAAGCAGCTGTTTTATCTGCATTAAAGCTACAAACATGTCACAGAGCAAATGCACCTGTGTGAAACCTTCTCCCCCACACTCTGAGTGGGCATCATATCCTAAACGATGCGTCTCTGCGTTAGTTCGTTCCCCCCAGCGTTGGCTAAGGCCTGCAGCTATTTAAAGCCGACTGTTTGTTGAGTCAGCTTCTCTGGTCTCACCACCGCGCTTGTTGAAGCCTCTTCGTTGACAGCTGTGTTGTACTCGAAGCGCTTCTGCTTCAGATGATGAAATAGGTTTGTGGTGTTTCCTCCCTTCACCACGATGGCCCACTGGCATGTTCTACAAAACATTGTGCTTTGGTGGCTTTCTGGCGAAAACCAAACCAGTTCCACATCACTGCGGTTGCTCCACTTTTACAAACCAGTTCTGGTTTGTCTGTTTGCCTTCTCGTTCTCCACCGCCGTGCTTTTTTACGCCATGTTTGTATGAAAACAAAGGCACCGCACATGCGTGTTTTACACATGTTCTATCGCGATGTTTCATTTTCTTATCGTTGCCTAAAATTACACCGGTGTTACCGTGGAAGGTATAATATGTCCCAGCTGTACTGCAGACGCTCGGCGACGTCGGCCGCTCTGTGCCTGATGCCGAGCGCCCGTGACCTTCAACGGTGTTTGTGTTGCGGTTTTGCAGGAGCTGGTGTCGGAGAAGCTGAGCGTTCAGCAGCAGAAGGTCGAGCTGGAGCGACTGAACGAAGAGCTGGAGAAGATCGGACTGAACCGGGAGAAGCTGCTGCAGCAGGAGCACACGCTGGAGGACAGGTACGACCCCGCGACCTCACCTGTTCACTTTAAAGCGGATCTCTGACGAGGGACTCACGGATGTGTTTGAATGTCAGCAGGTACAGGCTGCTGGAGTCTCGGCTGGAGGAAACCGTCCAGCAGACCATGAAGGTCAAGGAGGAGAAAATCTCCAGCCTGGAAAAGAAGCTGGAAGAAAGCGGCGCCCTCAACAAGACGCTTCACGCAGAGCTGGAAGCTGTGAGGAAATGCACCCTCGCCTTCGCCTCTGTAAAGTTGAAGCTGTGCGACAGTCTGACATTTTTCTTTCCCGCTGCAGGCTTATCAGACGGCGTCCGCCTCCCATCAGCACCGCAAGGAAGTAAACCACTACTCCCAGCAGCACCCGGCGGCTGACCGCAGCGCCACGGCCGAACTGCTGCGAATCAAAGATCACCTGATCGACGTGGAGAAGAACGTGAGCCGCTGTTTCTGATCATCATCATTAATAATAATGTTATCACTGTTAATGATTATAGCAGCACAGGAACGTTTCCTGTTCAGCACCTCAGAAATGTTCTCACACGTGAAAAACGCTTTGTGCTAATTTGATGGATGAGTTTGTGTGACTGCTGTGAAACTGTGTTTGTTTGGTCCAGAACGCCTCCCTGCAGACGGAGAGCAGTCTGCTGAAGGAGCAGCTGAAGCAGCTGGAGAACCAGAACACTTCCCTCAACAACCAGATGGCGGCGCTGCAGCGGCACACCACCACGCTGCAGGAGCAGAACTCGGCATTGCACACGCAGACGGCGAAGCTGCAGGCACGCTCACACACGTGTAACTTCGACCCAGTTTACACTCAGGCCATCGCGCTCACGCTTCATCTCTTTGTCCTCTCAGGTGGAGAACTCCACCCTCTCCTCTCAGAGCGCCTCTCTTATGGCCCAGAATGCCGTGCTGCAAGGCCAGGTGACCGCCCTGGAGACGGAGGTGGAGTCGTGGCAGCGGCAGCGCGAGGAGGCGTGGCGAGCCAGAGAGGGCGTGCTCAGCGATCACGAGCGCCTGCTGAGCGTTCACGAGAGGCAGGCTCATGAGTACGAGCAGCTGATCAGTCAGCACGCAGCGCTGAAGGGCAAACAGAGGGCGCTGGAGAGCGAGCACGGGACGCTGCACGGCAAGTAAGTGGACGCGTCGGCGTGAAGCGCTGGAATGATTCAGATAACAGGAAGCAGCACAGGTGGGAGAAAGGGTGCCGAGTGTAACCATGGAAACGGCTCCTGATCGCTCCTGAGCCGCAAGTTTCCTTTTAGCTGATCTACCCATCCGTGTCACTTCCTGTCTGTGTCACTTGTTCTGTCAGCTTCACCTTTGACCCCTTAAATCAAGCTAATACCTGCGAGGTGTGCATGAATTTGAACCACTCTCAGAGAGACGCTTCGAGACAGCCGACCTTTGACCCAATGACACTTCCTCCTTTCACAGTTAAATAGAGGTTTGCTCTGAAACTGCAGCTGCAGTCACGATGGCGATGAAGAGCAGAGGGTCTGATGAGCATGGAGCGCCACTGCTCGCTCTGCTGCTCGCTCTCTGGGGTTACATGTGTTTGTTCCAGCTGAGAAACATCAGGCGTCGGCACTCTGAGGTCAGAGCCTCCATCGGCTCAGTGAAGTTTAGGGATGAGTATCGAAAACCGGTTCTTGTTGAGAACCGGTTCCCACTGTTTCAATTCCTTGGAATTGTTTGCCATTTTTGCAAACGATTCCCTTATCGATTCCAGTCGCCCCGAATGACGTCACCACATTGCGGAGCGTCATTTACCTGGCAGGAAACATGGCGGCTCAAACGCTCAAAAGCTTGGTTATACTTTACGAGAACGGATGACAGCAGGACAACTTGCAATACTTGCAAATTAGATATTTCATTTAAGGGAGGAAACACTACGAATATGCAAAAGCATTTGCTCACAAAACACGCGATGACACGCGTTTTTAATTCCGCTCCGGACTCGTGAATGTCAACCCAGCAGCAGCGGTAACGTTTGCACGTCCTCTCCCGTTAATGCGGCAGGTAAATAATCCACTAACAGTGCATATTATGTTAGCGCAATCTGCCTTATTACAAAACCTGCCATTACTGTGCATTTAGGTGACCATGATGAGAGAGACAGACAGAGTCTGGCTCAGATGCTGCCAGTTCTCGCTGCAGTCTACCGGTAGCGTCTCCTTTCAGGCCAGGATAGACGAATGTCAGCGAGCAGAGACTAAGTTTGTGGTCAAAGGCTTGCACCCATTTGCCACAGCAGATGATTTTCAGTAAGTGAATGGGTTTAATTGTAGGCAGTGATATTACTGGATATTCTTGTGTAATTGCTACAGAATAATTTATGTTATACTTTGTTATTGCTACAGAAGAATATTTATTTTATTATTTTACATTTACTATTTTTTTTCCTGGGGATCCTGTGATACCCCATTGAAGAGCCATAGGCTGGATCTCTTAAGGATCTCTTAAGATCTCACTGTTGGGTTTGTAAGGCCATGTTACTCCTAAATTTCTATCTTGTTCAAAGAGAAGATATAAAACAAAGTTCTAAGCTAATCGACCTTAGTGTTCTCCTTTTTTAAAGAGAATCGATAAAGAATCGAATCGTTAAACAGAATCGAAAATGGAATCGGAATCGTGAAAATCTTATCAATACCCATCCCTAGTGAAGTTTGTCACACTTGCTGATTTTGACTGAACACACCAACACGCGACACTGAGCATTTCATCAGATTTTAATAAGCAACAAGCTGCAGTGAAGCTGCTCTCAGAGTAAAGCCGCCTGTAAGCATGACAGCATGTATTCACCTGCACCATAAACATGCTGACATTTGTGCGACACAGTTAAGATCACAGTAACTGTTTACATAAGTTCATGTGTGCAGTGCTGAGGAAAGGATGAGCTGCGTTACTCTGCAGAGATCAGTGATCTCGTGAGTATTTCTGGATTATATGTCACAAGGATTTCCTGCTGCTGCAGACGCACCTGCAGCCTGCTCCACATAGCAGTCGTTGTGAAACAGCTGACCTGTTTGGTTGTGTTTTCCAAGAAAGGCTTGAAGCTGTGACAGGGTGCACTCGTAGATCTGGTTCTCAACATTCTTAGCTGTGGCACCTCCACTCTCATAAGACTGTGATGTCTTGTTATAGTAGCAGTGGGCGACCCACATGTAGTCAGGGATGTTGACACCTGGCTGGTTATCTCTTTTGATCCAGTTTCCTTTGGATGGAATTGCACCGACCAGAACGTAGACGGAGTAATTTTTGGCCCAACCTTTGAGTTTGGCCTCATGTCGACTCCACCTTTTTTCATTCAGCTTTTGTTTTTGAGGAACTATGTTGGTCAGGGTGTAGGTGGCTTTGGAAGCATCACCTGTGGAAAATGATGTAGAGACAGAAGAAGGATGTGATTGGTGGGTGGATGAGAGCGTAGCAGGTTATGATAAAGTGCTGTGTAGAATAAATTTCCCTCATAAACAGAACGTAATTATTTTTAAAGGTCTTGTGTTTGAAGTCTTCTTCTTTCCTGTGTTCTCTGGTTCATGTTCCTGGGACCGTGTTCTGTCTCCCACATGTGAGAACACGCGTGTACATCTTACTGAGTGTGCATGAGACACACGACAAACCCCTCAGAACAGCTCGACCTCTCTTACCTGCATGATGTGAGCTGGGATTCAGGTGACCTCGATTGTATTGATCCTTGTATTGTTTTGTAAGTTGTTTGTAGTCGTCATCTGTTGCCTGCCTCATTCCTATGTCCTTAGGGTCTATAGGGTCTAGTGTACGATGTTTGTAAATCAGTGAATCCTGTGTCATCATCTCCTTTTCAAAACTCTTATTTACCAGCTAAAGGTAGAAGATCGACATGAAGTAATGTAAACATGTTATAGGTCAGCTGATCTACATGCTTTGTACTTTGTTTACATTAAAACGACTCATTCTGGCGTGTTACTGTAATATTAAATACACAAAGTTCTCAAATGCCATCACTTTTTACAGTCTTCACTGAAATGTTAAATGTGTGATGCAGCTTTAGCATCTGTCAGGAAGTCTGGGATCAGCTGTCTGTGGAAGAAACCTGAGTGGGTCTCATTTACAAAGCTGTCGTATACCTGAGGCTCCACCATCCAGTCTGTTTCTGAACTTTTTCCATCCTCAACTACATAAGCAGAGTAGACGGGAATGCGGTTGGTGATGTCGTACAGGGTGGCAAAGTGGTATCTGGTGGTTCACAGAGTCAATTAGAAAGACTGAATCTTAAAAGTAAAGTTCACAATAGTAACGACAGATCATCAAGTCCAGCTCTGCAGTTTAACAGAATAAAAAAAATACTTTTATTTAATATGATCATTACCTGTTATTAAACATCTGGCAGATGTGGACGTGATCATTGGGAGTCCACTCTGGCACATGCCCGTTGTAAAAGTATTGCATGCACGTCTACACAACAGAGCAGCAGAAACTAGGTTTAAACACACAGAGAAACCATCTTATCATCTTTATGAACGCACTGATGCAAAAACCTCATTAAAGTTTTCCACGACATGTGCGTTGATGGGAAAGACGAGGAGGAGGAAGCACACGGTCACCGAGCTCTGCATGCTGGATAAGTCTGAGATCCTCTGTGTGAGTAACACCTAACACAAGAAATGACCCGAGATTTTCATCACTGTGCTGGAAGGAGGCAGCTGCACGCAACGAAAGAGCCAGAATCTCACTAACGTCCCATCAATGCTCCAGAGCGCAAACATGATGAATATATTCTGTTTTAATTTACACGATGATTCAAATCAGAATATTCTAAAACTAAATGCACCCTTTAGAAAACACAATAATGTTCCTCTGATTCAGGCGGAAAGTTATCTGCTCTGAATAAGCTGTTATTAGGGCAGGGCAATATGGCCAAAAGTTTTATCATGATCTATATTTGAAAATTTGCGATAATGATATAACTGACGATATAACTGACTAACTTTGATGGTTTTTTTGCACTAATAATGTATTTTCACGGTGATAAAGGGCAAAAACCAACAAAACAAACAGACAAAAATCCATCTATCAATCACCTGGATCACCTGTTGAAAGAAAAAAGAGAAAACAAGCAAAAAAAAGAGCAACATAATAAACAACATCACGATGATCTATGTGAATATAACAGTAAATACAAAATATTAAACATTATTGTGCAGCACGTAAGATCGACAGCACACAGTGTGCTTTGAGGTAGGAGCCAAAAAGGGTGTAGTTTGTGTGTGTGAGCACCCGTGTGCACACCTGTGAGCATGAACGCGCTTGTTTTTAAAAGGTTCCTTCATGTAATGATCTGCTAGAGGGTGTGGGGGGGCCACATCCCCGTCCTCCCCAGGTCTAGGTACCCTAGGACCCAGGTGGTGTTACCCTTTTCCCTGGGGTGGAGAGAAGCAGACCGCCCCGGCTTGGCAGCAGCAGGGAGGCCCCAGATTCCAGACCCAACTCCTCCTCCAGCCCCAGCCCCCTCGCTCCAACAGGCAGCTGAGAACAGGGGGTGTGTGAAGACTCCAAACCTCCTATCAAGGCCAGGTTTCACAATGAGCTCACCCGAAACCCTGGCTGATTAGGACCCACACCCAGTTTCACACCTTGGCTCAGGCGATTAGCGGATCATCAGGGGGTCCTTTTGTCCCTCTGTGGGGGGACCCTAGAACTGAAGAAGCTTCTCGGATGAGAGGTGAAATGTCTTCAAGTAACTTAAAGAAGTCCAGACGCTTTTCTTTGCAAGCTCCTTTGACTACGATGACCTGGATGACTGAGAGCCTTCACATACTTATTGCCATGCTGTGTTTAACACAACAGCGCAGTTGGTCAAATGGTTATTAATCAGAGAGACCCTCCAGGTCCTCCATCGCTCCATCAGTCAATGTAATTTTATATTCAGTGAAGGTCCAGAGGTCAGAGGTTACGCAGAAAATTGTGCCGTTTGCTTTGTAAAGTACAGCCAGGAAAAATCTGCTTCGATTCCAGATTTATGAGTTTTATTCTGCTGCAGTCCTCACATGTTACCTGTGGCAGGTTAAACGCCCACAGTCCTGTAAGCTAACAGCATCACTAACAGTAACTCTTCACTTTGATCGGCTCCTTCTGACTCGGTCTGAACTTAAGTCAAAGCTGCTGCCTCGGTGTGACTCGGAGTGTGATGAAGAGCAGAGGAGGCTCACAGATGTGGCTGGTGCTGTTCTCAGTCACATCTCTGAACCTGCTCCAGGGCCCACTAAACAGATGCAGTGCTCTGAATGCAGCTGTGATGCCCGAGTGTGAGGACAAGTGTCTGGACATTTGTACCCGACAGAAGCTCTCAGTGAGTTTGCTCAGGATCACAGTTTCATTGTTTCAATAAGCAGGTTCTCTTTAAGCCTGCAGAGTCCTGATTGTTGGACCTTGTGACAAATTAAAAGCCAAATTAAAAATGGCACCGATGACGGAGAGGTGTCCGCAGACTCGTGTATGACACACCTGATGTGACTGGTCAGAGGGAAATCTGCTCTGTGAAACGTCATGAACAGTAATTGCTGGAGCCGCCATGACGTCACGGACTGATTTCGGAGGCGTTCTTAAGGTTGGGGGCGGGGCTCTGACTGTGGTCGCTCATTGGCTAGCGGCGGACCCGCTGTTAGCCAATGAGCGCAGTCCTGATAAACCTTATTTCTGTCAAATAATACAATAAACATTTACGGAATTTGTATGGAAATAAGCGCGGAGTCGCGAGTTCTTCGGTCACGTGGTCAAAGTCAGAGTTCCACTCACTTCCGCTCTGGCGCATCATCCGGAAGCGGCTTCCATCGTCGGTTTTTCCAGGCTTCTACGGCTGTGTCCCAATTAAGAG